AAAACAAAATTCATTTTGTTATATAAAAATGTTTTGCATCATTTATTTTACATTTTCTGTTTACTTCCAGGTTTAAATTAATTTTGAAACCCCATAGAAACAGTCTCAGATTTTTGACCCCTCTGTACATGTTTTCCTTCAAAAATGTGTGATGAACTTAGAGAATTCCATAGTGTCTTTCAAATTTCTTATTATCATAATATAAATGTATGGTTATCTATAACACTCTCTGATGTTTTCTTTTTGACAGGGTTACTGCAAGTACTCAGTACTTTTCTATGGCTACTATAATAACCAAAGAACCATTGGCTTCCTGAAGTTTCGTCTCCCTCTGTCTTACCTCCTGGTGGGCATTGGGACCTTCGGGTATAGCCTCATGGTATGAGTTCACCTTTGCCTGGAAGATGTTCACCAGCTGGGATTATCTTATTGGGAACGCTGAGACAGCCGACAATAAATACGCCTCCATCACCACCAGCTTCAAAGTATGTGACTGTGTGTATATGTGGAATTGTTTGGGTAGGTGTTGATGTGTGTGTGCTGACCACTGCAGTTTTTGTTGCATGGTCTGGTTGTCCATTCAGAGACCTGAGGAGGTCACCTCTCTGTAAGACCACATTTCTGCCACTGGTTTACAGTAATAAATCCTCTGGCCAGATCAATTGATATGGTTTATATAAATGTTCAGACATGAACTGCAGCTCCAAAATGCTCATTCATGAGTTTTACTCATTTTGGGAACTCTAATGCTTTCTGCAGGAGTCCATTGTGGATGAGCAGGAGAACCAAAAGGATGAGAACATTCATCTAAGGAGATTCTTACGTGTCCTAGCCAACTTTTTCATCACCTGTACGCTGGGAGGAAGTGGCTATCTCATTTACTTTGTGGTCAAACGTTCCCAAGATTTTGCCAACATGGACAACCTCTCATGGTATGAGAAGAATGAGGTAAATATAAACACAAGACCACATTCAACATTTTGTAACAAGATAGATAGATAGATAGATAGATAGATAGCAGCCCAGTTAATTATGTATTAACAATACCATTGTCTCTCAGCTTGAGATCATCATGTCTCTGCTGGGACTGGTGGGTCCAATGCTCTTTGAGACCATCGCTGAGCTGGAGGAATACCATCCACGTATAGCTCTCAAGTGGCAGCTGGGGCGTATATTTGCGCTCTTCCTTGGCAACCTCTACACATTCTTGCTTGCTCTGTTCGATGAGGTCAATTCGAAAGTAAGTTCTCTGATGATAGCAGTGTTTACTTTCTATTTTTAGTTGGGAATCAGTGATTTTTAAGAAAACAAAAATTATATATTTTTTTTGCCTCAAGCTTGAAGAGGAGGAATCTATAAAAAACGCCAGCCTTTGGTACATAAAGGAGTATTACGCCAACTACTCAGCTAACAACCCAAATGACACAGGCACCCCACCTCCTATGGACCCCGCTGATATCATCAGAGGCCCATGCTGGGAAACTACAGTGGGAATAGTAACGTGTCTTTTGTTCATCTAGCTTCTCCAGCAAAAATCATATATAGAATATATTGTTTAATTGATAAGATCTAAACATTTGTTTGCACATTTGGTCAAAATCAAACCATTTACCTCAAACCATTCACACTCTACCATTAGGAGTTTGTGAAGCTGACCATATCAGATATACAAGTGACTTATCTGACCATCCTCATCGGTGACTTCCTGAGAGCGTTGATTGTGCGTTTCCTGAACTACTGCTGGTGCTGGGATCTGGAAGCTGGCTGGGTGAGTCCAATATACTCTATAAGCGCATCACCAACAACCTAAACTGTGGCCATTTAAGGTTTTGATAACTAACACCCTTTTTCATTCTCAGCCCTCCTATGGTGAATTTGACATAAGCGGCAATGTGCTTGGTTTGGTGTTTAACCAAGGAATGATCTGGTAGGAACACATGCACAAATAACACAACATAAATAAAATATAAGCAATGACATCACTGAAAAAGGGAAAACTCTATGTTAGTGCATGTACAGCTGACTTTTTTTAATACTATGCACAAAATGTTACTACTACCTGAAAAAGTCTGCAGAAATCACACTTGTCTCTTTGAGATAAAGTGACAGATTTACTGACAGCTTGAGCTAGTGCAAACCCTCTTTCTATTTTAAAAAGCTACTCTTGGGATTTACTGAATACACGCAGTGCATTAGTTCTTAGCGATGAAAAGGCATGGACAGTTATTTTTTTGCGGCTGACCTTATTACATATGCATTTGTGTTTCCCTTTTGGACACAACATACATGGGAGGAGAGCATTTAAATACAACATGCAACATGATTTACTAAGCTTTGCGATGGTCAGTTAAGTGGTATTTGCGGCATTTTTTAACTCCCAAAAAAGCATGTCTTGACCTCTTTGCACTTGACATGGCTGCGGTAGATCAATAGATTGCATTGGTCATTATGGAAATGAGCTGGCTGTGTCTGTGTTTTTTAAATTGCGCATTTTGTTTATAGATGACCTGCAGAAATTTCCACTCCCATCTGCACTTTTTTTTTGGAATTGTGGACTCACACTAATTTGCCCTGTTTAGTAAATCTGGCCCCTAGGCTCTGTGAACAGCAAATATTAATCTGGAGAGGCTCACACTTTTTTAAAAATAATTTTAAAAAACTCTCATTGAAGGGGAGGGTTCCACAGTTTGTGGTTAAAGAAATGGTTAGCAGTCTATTTCAATGATCTAAAGTGCGTTTGCACCAAGACTTAAATAGGGGTGTGCAACGTCAATACATGTATCTGTATGTGTACCAATGGCAAAATTATATGTATCTGTATTCGGATAAACTCAAATGTGGGTTGGACTTAAACCAGAAGTTTGTCTAAACTGCTTGAAAAGCTCATTTTAAATGTAATTTTTTTCCCGTCATAGTTTATATATTTATATACAAATATGCCTTAAATGACAACCCAGACATTCTACTCAGAGCTTTTACATCCTCAGACTCAGAATTATGCATTTCAAGGGTTATACTATTAACACCAAAATTAATCTGTGAAACTTGAGTAACCAATGGACAAAACCTCAATACAAGTAACATTTGTTATGCAAATGCCTTGTTAATAAACTTAAAGTTTATCTTATTTAACAGAACATTAGACATTATACAGCTCTGTGTGTTAGCTATATTAAACTCTATTGTATGTTGTTCATTGATTTTCAGATTAATTTAACATTATTAAGACATTAACAATAGTCAATTATAGGAATTACTAAGCCGAAAAATGTCAAGATATTGCTTTCATAAAATTCAGAATTTACAAGTTTAATCATGAGTTCTATAAGAATGTGAACGGCTTTTACAAATCTGAATCTTGTAATAACAGTAATTTTGACATTGTAACTACAGTCTAGCAAAAAGTTAGCAAATGGCTGACATCATTTACATCATATACATTATCAGAATAGTGATCCCAAAATGCATTGTGCTGAGCTCAGTAATAAAATCTAAAATGTCGGGGGAAAGTCAATAGAAATGTTGATTATTCTGTAAATATTTCATTAAATACTGAAAAGTCAACAAAATATCTAGCGTAGAATTAGTTCTGGCAGGTCACGTTAGTCCAGCTCGCATCAGCTGACTCTCAGCTGATCCCCATCAACCTATGGGAATACGACACCTATCTAAGCATTCATATATAAGGTCCCTCAGTATTATCAGCAGTTTTCACATTGCTCAATAGCTAATTACCCTCCTCCATCCCCAACTCCTCCTCTGTCAGTCAGGATTCAGCCTTCTGATTCTCTTTTGAATCAGACTAATTCTAAAATGTGTACATAACATTATTGAACTTTAACGATATCTGCAATACATTTATGTTGGTTCTGTTCTGTTTACCCTGGGGGGGTTATTGCTGCTCTCCCTGCTCTCATCCATGATATGGGAGTTCTTGCCCAGAACAGAACCATACCGCCAATCCAAACTGTATGCTAATTATCAATCATCTTTGACGATAGTGGTCCTGACAGAAATTTCATCTAATGGAACACATTATTCCAATCTTTGTTTTTGCCATGTATTGATAAACATCAATATAATTCTATTGTTGAATATTGATGAAGTGTTAGCTTAGCAACCTCCTAGTATCGGACTGTTGGAATCAACCTTGACAACTTGCATGTTGCGTCACAAACACTATTTGTGTGGCACATTTGAACATTAAGCGAGTTTCTGTCTATGTAGATATTTTCAATTTACGAGGTTTAATGTAGATTGCAGCAGCACACCAGGTTCTAGAACAGAGCCGCTATAAAGGCTTTGAACCTTTTTGAAAGGCTTTGAGATGTAATTTCTAGCAAAAGACAATTTTGTAGCTTTGCATTAGAATACATACCAAACATAGCATATCAAAACAAGAATTAGCCACTGTAGATATCAAGCTGTTTGTCTGTGTTTGTCAGGATGGGGGCATTCTATGCTCCTGGTTTGTTGGGCATCAATGTACTGCGGCTCCTGACCTCCATGTACTATCAGTGTTGGGCTGTAATGGCCTGTAATGTCCCACATGCGAGGGTGTTTAAAGCTTCCAAATCCAATAACTTCTACATGGGCCTGTTACTGCTCATCCTCTTCCTGAGTCTCCTGCCTGTGGTTTACACTATCATGTCTCTGCCTCCCTCCTTTGACTGTGGACCCTTCAGGTATCCCTACACAAACAAGCTCACATATGCACAGAATACAGTAAATTAATTTTATTATCAAATTTACTCATTTTGACACTTCCTGTTTACCACAGTGGGAAACAAAGAATGTTTGACGTCATTATGGAGACCATTGATCTAGATCTACCTGCGTTTATGGGGACGCTCTTCAGCTACGTAGCAAACCCTGGACTCATTATACCAGCAGTTCTTCTCATGGTGTATGTGAATTAATAAAGTTTTCACGATCACATAGTACATGCAAAATCCCTTACATTTTTGTTTTGTATTTCTTACAGTCTGGCCATTTACTACCTGAATTCTGTGTCAGTGGCCTATAAGAACGCCAACATGGAGCTAAAAAAGAAAATGCAGATGGTCAATATTCTTTGTGTTCAGATGCACGACAATACATACTAAGTTTTGTAAAAATGGCAGAAATTTGTTTAGCCAGTGTGTGCTTCTAACATTCATTTCTAGGCAAGAGACGAAGAGAAGAACAGACGGAACAACAAAGACAGCACTAACCAGGTGATGAAGGACCTGGAGGATCTACTTCCAAATCGCTCTCCTGCTCCTCCAGAGAATAGCGCAGGTGTGTATTGCATAGACTGTGGTTACTGACCAATCCTACCTTTGCAATTGGTATCATACTATCAGATAAGCTGTTGCTGTTACCGTTCAAAAGATTTGAAAGAAACTAATACTTTTATTCAGCAAAGATCCTTTAAAATGATCAAAAAGACTTTAACATTGTTGCAAAAAATTGTATTGCAAATAAACATAAACAAAATGGGGTTTTTTTTAGAAAAAAAAGAATTTATTAGTCAGCACAACCGTTTTCAATTGTGATGATAATAACAATAATAATCAATATGTTTCTTGAGCATCAGATCAGCATATTAGAATGATTTCTGAAGGATCATGTGACACTGAAGACTGGAGTAATGGCTCCTAAATAATTGAGCTTTGCTGTCATAGGAATAAATTGCATTTTTAAAATATATTAAAATTGAAAACAGCTATTTGTTATAACCCCCTATTATAAATTGTTATAATGCTTCACAATATTACTGTTTTTACTGTATTTTTAGTGTAGTAGGTGCAGCCTTGGTGAGCATAAGGGAAAACATTTCTAAAATCTTACAGACACCAAACTTTTAAACGGTAGTGCAATTCATGTTGCAGGTCGCATGCATTTGAATAATTAAAAAAAATGTGCATAACTGATCAAAAAATATGGTAAATCTTGAGAACTGGATGCTTACATTATTAAACTCTCACCCTTCATTCCATTTGTTTCTTCCTGCCTTAGAAAAAAAACATGACCAGGGTGGAAAATCTCCAAAAGTGAAACCAGGCTCAGCTGGAGGTGGCGTGCATCTGCAGAAAGATGTGTCACTCGCATCAGCTAATCCTAGTGCACGGGGGCCTGTGACTCGAGCGCCAGGCCCCAGGGGACCTGGACCTCTACCTGGCCAACCAGGGTCAGGCAGGGGTCAAGGGCCACCCCCTAGACGGCAGTAATGTGTGATCTATTCATTATCGTGTGCTCTGCTGGTCTATACACTGTAAAATGAAAGTAAGCATTGGTTGTTTTATTAAAGAAATTAATATTTAAAATTATTACATTATTTGCTGCTGGACACTTCTGCAGAAATTTGGAAATATGGAAATAGCATATTAAATACCATACATTTCCATACAGTAAATTGCATACGGTGGCCCCAAAAATAATTTGGTCACTTAGTCACATCTAAAAACATTTTAATTTAATTGCATTAGAATTTAATTGCATTACCAACTTGCATCTTCAAACAGATGGCAGAATTTTTCTAAAAACTAACTTCCTTAACTTCACTGAAACACTTTTCAGTGACTTTTAACCACCTGATTTTCAAGTTGAAGTTAGTTCATCGGGTTTCATTCATCATCATCATATTACCTATCAACATCTTCTACTGACAATGGACATCCAAAAAGTGTCCAAATACTTTTTGTCTTCATTTTGAACAGTATATTGGTTGTTTTATCAGTTAAAGAAAAAGTGTGAAATGTTTTGCTTGAAAAGCGTGCTCTTGAATTTTTCTTTTAAAGGGGTCCTATTATGCTTTTTCACTTTTTTAATTTTACCTTGCTTTGGTATTTAGTTTAATGCAATGGCATGCATGTATTTTTAATTGTGTCTTAAGTGTCTAAATTCTCTTTGGGCCTATGTGTTATGTGTTTAATGCATGCAAATTATACCGCTACATATAGCCGCTTTATTATTGAACTAAAGTTACAGTACATTTGTTGTCTATTCTGTTTTGAGTTTTGTAATAAATCCAAAATCTAAGACATTTTTTAGTCATTTTCTTACTTTAGTGACAGTTCTGACAGTTTAGAGCATTCTGAAGATTGGATTGCTAATGATCACAAAGATACATTAATCCCTCAACAAGTGCCCAAACTGGTTCTGAACATTTCTGCATTTAACTTTTGTGTAAAAGCATGACACAAACCCAAAACCCATATGCAGCTTTACTTTTTCAAACCTCATGATTTAGAGTTTGTCCTGTCACCTAAAAATAACCCCACAGCTTTGACTCAATGTCTGTGGTAAGTAACTATACTACAGACATTAGTATAGTTGCTTGACTAACTGGGGTCCAGGTCAGGAAGCAGACAGACTGGCTAAACCGACCGTCTGCTAGCCGCCTCACGTCACAGAAGTCAGTTAATTCTCAGCACATAGAGACTCTTTCACCTAGATATCACACTATAGAGACTGTGTCTGTTCCCCGAACTAGAAAATACAAAAAACGTCCAAACCAATTTAAGAGTAACTTAATTGATGTTCAACAAATAAAAAACAGATGTAATATGGATAAACAAATGATAAAGCTTGGCTTATTGAATATCAGGTCCCTTTCTACGAAAGCACTTTTTGTAAATGATATGATCACTGATCATAACCTAGATGTGCTCTGTTTGACAGAAACCTGGCTAAAACCTGATGATTACATTATTTTAAACGAGTCTACCCTCCCAAGATTACTGTTATAAACATGAGCCATGTCCAAAAGGTAAAAGGGGAGGTGTTGCTACAATTTATAACAATATTTTCAGTATTTTTAAGAGGGCGGGCTTCAAGTATAACTCGTTTGAAGTAATGGTGCTTCATATAACATTATAGCTCTATATTTTTTCACGGCCCGGCGAAACATACCAATTTGAAAAATGAATGGAATGCACAGTCGATATAAAAAACTTGCATTTGTAAAACTGCATTTTTCCATCTCAAAAATATATCTAAATTACGACCTATGGCCCCAGAGACAGATCCCCAGTGAAGACCTTGTCTCCTAGACAAGACCATAGGAACCAGTTGAGTCCTCTGCACAATCTGACTTTGCTGCAGCCTGGAATTGAACTGCTGGTTTCGTCTGGCCAGAGGAGAACTGGCCCCCCAACTGAGCCTAGTTTCTCCCAAGGTTTTTTCTGCATTATGTCACCGATGGAGTTTTGGTTCCTTGCCGCTGTCGCCTCTGGCTTGCTTAGTTGGGGACACTTAATTTCCAGCGATATCGTCGACTTGATTGCACAGATATTATTTAAACTGAATTGAGCTGGATGATGACATCACAGAATTCAATGATGAACTGCCTTTAACTGAAGATTGAGTGTTTACTATTGTCATTTTGCATTATTGACACACTATTTTACTAATTAATGCTGTACAGTTGCTTTGACACAATCTGTATTGTTAAAAGCACTATATAAATAAAGGTGACTTGACTTGACTATAGCCAGGAATAGCTTGGCCATGAAGGGATAGTTCACCCAAAATTGTCATTATTTCCTTACTCTCATGTCATTCCAGTGATTTTCTTTTTTCTGTGGAACTCAAAAGGACACACATCTGCATTCTTTTCCTTTTGCCTTTCACAGCAGAAAGTCATGAGTTTTTGGGAAAACAATGAATAAGTAAATGATGATAGAATTTTTGGATTAACTAATTGTGCATGAATAATATGAATAGAGTAGAAGCATACAAAACCAAATAGATGTCAGACTCTGTTCCATGTTTTGTGTGTGTTTCGCTCCCCATGTGTTTCCATGCCCCTATTTGGTCTTCCTGTTCCTGCTCCCTGATTGTTTATTATTAGTCCCAGGTGTTTCCTATGTTTATTGTTTCATCAGCTCCAGGTGTTTCTCGTCTTCCCCTCATCAAGTCCTGTGTTTAAATAGTGGTCCCTGTGTTGAGTTCCTTTGTCTGGTATTGTGAATGTCGTACACTGAATGTGCACCCGTTGATATCTGTGAATGTCTCCATGTACTACGTGTGTTTTCCTGGTTCCTTTGATGGCAAATAAAGTCTCCTGCGTTGATGTACTCCTGGTTTCCTCGCTCCGTGCTCTCTCACAGTAGTAACACCGTGAAAATAGAAGCATGTGCATGGTCTTGTGCTAAATCTAGTGAACGATGTCATTCCATGTATATCTTTTTTGTTTAGGCTTCATATTCTATGCCAGTTTATCTTACACAAACCAATAATCCTGCAGTTTGAGGTGAATGCAGCAAACACATTAAATGACTGAAGACGGGTTCAACCAGAACAACCTGGTTTTAATCCCTCCGCCCAGCCTAGTTTTTTGCACATGTGTGTAAAGAATAAAAGGCCCGGTTATGTTCCTGAAATTACCCAATTCAGAGCAGCTCTCACAGACTTCCCAGGGAAACAGGTGAGATATCACAGCGAATTTACTGTTGTCATCAGTAACATATTTTAACACTGCTCTTCGAAAACATTCAACATCGAATCAATGACTTCCAAAGATATATTGCTAATGACTTTTCATAAGCGCAATCTCACAATTATTTATTTGTTTGTTTGTTTGCTATAGCTTTTTCAAAGGTTTAAAAGATGGCATTCTTTAAGAAGTTTCTCCAGAAAATTTGTGATGATGACAGCAGCACGGTATAGAATGAATACATGCCCAATGACTTATGACATATGACATATTAAAGTACACCTCAACATCATTACTTATATTAATAATTAGTCCATGGTCTGATATTCAGTGGCTGTTGCAATATGTTCCCTCACAGGGTTTTAAAGGTGGTCCTGCGGAGACTGCATACTTTGGAACAGTCAAGGCTGATCCAAATTTTAATGCCCAAAATGATGCTGCAAAACTGAAGAAAGCCATTGAGACCAAAGGTAAATACTTTAGTGTAAATACAGGTGTTTTACTCATATTTTGAATTACGCATTGCATTTTTTTGTGCTTTAGGGTTGAACCAAATTTCTGTAAACTTGACAAATACTTTTTCAGTTTTCTATGGACTTTTCTCACCAGTGTAGCCATCAAGATAAATGCAACATTAAACACATAAAATGCTCTCATGATCCTGATACCAATGTTAGAACTATTATAGGGATGCTTTTTTTGAATGTGTTTCAATAAAGGATGAAAAACAATGTTCATTTTCAGCTAGATATGACAATTTATGTGTTTTTACAAGTGTTGTCATGTTTCTCAGTAAAGGTGTGGAGGACACACCCTTGCAATACTTTCATAGAATACACTCAAAGCAGTCTCACAGAAGCAGAGACACTAATTCATGAGTACTAGAACAAAACGGCCAGTGACATGACCAAAATAAATGTTTTTGAAATTAAGGAATGATTTTGTATATTCACTAGTGCTGTCAAATCAATTAATCTCATCCAAAATAAAAGTTTGTGTTTACATAATATGTGTGTGTACTGTGTATATTTATTATGTATATAAATACACACACATGCATGTGTATATTTAAGAAAAATACTTTGTTTATATATTAAATATATTTATATATAATATAAATTATATGAATATACATATATACATGTAAATATTTTCAAAATATATACTGTATGTGTATATACATTATTGTGTATATACAGATATATTAATTGCGATTAATCGATTCGACAGCACTAATTTTCACAAAATATGCATTTCTCTCATTAGATGAGAGATCATGGTTAGAGAGTCGGACTTGTAACCAGAAGGTTGCGGGTTCGGGTCTCAGGTCCGGCAGGAATTGTTGGTGGGGGGAGTGAATAACCAGCACTCTCTTCTGCCCTCAATACCATGACTGAGTTGAGACCCTTGAGCAAGACACCGAACCCCCAACTGCTTCCCGGGCGCCGCAGCAATATGGCTGCCCACTGCTCCGGGTGTGTGTTCACTACTGTGTGTGTGCACTTGGATGGGTTAAATGCAGAGCACATATTCCGAGTATGGGTCACCATACTTGGCCACACGTCATTTCACTCACCTCACTCACTCACTTAATATGTTTTACTTAGCGTATCAACACAGTCAGATAAAAAAGTGCACTGTCAAAAAAAATATTACATATATTATTAATGAAAAATCTAACATTCGAGTCAAATTGCACATTTGTTTTAATAACATTCTAGTGACCATATCCGAATAATTTAAACGTTGCTATTTTAAAAACAAATGACAGGCAAAATGTTTTGTCCCATGTGTCATGAATCAGCACTATATTAATTACATATCCCCCAACACACAGTTATGTTGCAACATATGGCTTATCGTTGTACTTATTATGCACCATGAGATATGTGCACTATGTAATTGCTCATTTTAACCCACCAGAATTACGCTGTAGTTTGATCATAAAAAGCTGCTCACTTTCATCTGTTTTCCTCTCATGAAGGTGTGGATGAAGCCACTATTGTGGAGTTGATAGCAAAGAAGAGCAATGCACAAAGACAACAGATCAAAGAAGCTTATCAGCAGAGCACAGGAAAAGTAAGCATATTCACATCCAACAATGTTTGTCTTTGGCCTGTTTAAATGTGTAAAGGTGGTCTGCATGTAAATGTGAGATTGGAGGGATGGAGGATGTTCAGAATTTGTCCATTCATAATTCTCAGTTATTTTTAATTGAAATATAAGCTTTGACTCAGATTTTCAAGATAGTTTTAAAGATGACAAATAGACACAAAATAGAACTGCAAGCAAAATTAGGAATTCGAGCACATCAGTGACATCATGTACAGGTACATGCATTAAACATGGTCCAAGGATTTTAAAAACTATGATTGTTATAGTTCATTAACTACAGTACGATTGAACTATGATTTTGCCAATAGTTTCAAAGGTCATGAGCAGATGTTGCTTACATTTACAAGATTTTACCAGCAGATGGCACTCTTAAGTCATAAGGTCACATATTCAGTTTTATTCTAATACATTAAAGGGGTCATATGATGCGATTTCAAGTTTTCCTTTCTCTTTGGAGTGTTACAAGCTGATTGTGCATAGATAAGATCCCTGAAGTTGCAAAGACTAAAGTCTCAAAACCAAAGAGATATTCTTTATCATTGTTAGTGACAGTTTTCACAACCATCCAATGTTTTATTTAAAGATATCAGTACTAAAATGTAATTGTTAATCAGGATCTTGGGACAAAAGAGGCTGTCTTAAGTGAAATTCTAGGGACCAGATCAAACAAGGAGATCACAGCGATGAAAATTACTTTTAAAGAAGGTAACAACACAGATCCAAATACATACATGTACTTCCTGAATGCAAATGTGTGTGTAGCTGGCTGCTAACTTCTTTTTGTCGTAAAGTCTATGGAAAGCAACTGGAGGAACAAATTAAAGGTGAAGTTAGTGGAGATCTCGAGACTACCCTGCTTGCACTTTGCAAGGTACAGAAATTACACTGTTTAACTTTAGTCTATTTATGTTACACCATAAGAAAACTAAATCTGTTATGTGTACTGAATATATATCTCATAACATCAGGCTACCAGGAGTGAAGATTATAATATTGACGATGGGCTTGCAAAGAGTGATGCAAAGGTACTGTGACAGATTCTACTCCAACACTGTAACAACTCGCATTAACTAATGTGATTAAATGAGCTGATTCGTCTATGATTTAGACCCAGACGAATCAGCTCATTTAATAACTTTAGTGGTGATTGTTTTCAGTAACCTGTTATGAATTTGGATTGGTATCTGGAATATCGCGTTCATTTTCTCCATGGACTATAGTTTATGTTTCTGTAGAAGCTGTAAGTCAGTGCTATTTGAATTAAACAACCTCAAAAAGTACAACAGTACAGTTATGAGTGTGATATTGCTTTTATACAACATTTATACATGAAAGTTAATATTGAGTAACTTACATTTAGACAAAATATAGCTGTTTAAAAGTGCACTACTGCCATCTGTGATTGAAACATAAAATTGCAAGTTATTGGTACTTGCATTTCTTGTTTTACGTCAGCTGTGCTTTGCATGCATGTGTACACAATTTTTGTACCTCTGTCTTTTAGATTTTATGATATTTTTTGCTTCTAATCAAATGTTTTGTTGTGATTCATTTTGGAACTGGTTGGTTTAGGGCTGTGAACTCTTTGTTTTTTACACCTATTGAGTAAATTAATGTATATATTATGGTATATGTGGAACCACTTTAAAAAGGGTGATTATTGGTGTATTTACATATATTATTTTAACAGACACTTTTATCTGAAGCACCTTTGGATAACACATGGAGACAACCGTTTTAGTAGTGCTACACTTCTGGATTTCTATAGTAAACTAGAATTGTTTTTATTGTTATTGAAGCTAGTTTAACCTTTATTAAGCCTTAAGCAGAGTTAATGGAAGTGAAGAGGAGTGACTGGGTGGTTGTTGAGATGTGGATGTGATGTGGATAGTGAGGATTATCAGGTTTAACAAGTGCTTCATACATAGTTCTTAGCTGACTTAACTGCCGTTACCATTGTTGAATCCGGCTGTACATTGATGTTGTGGTTAACTTATAGACTTGTTGAGATGACGAAGAGTTCTCTCTTTGCAAGGTTAAGCTGAAGGCACAGATGTCTAAGTGGAAGGTTAGATAGCCTTCCCGGTCTTCAGGCCGGGACTACATGTAGCAGTGATAGGAGAAGCTGTGTGGCTTTATATTTGGCCCAGTGAGGTTGTGCATATTGAGAAGAAGAGGGGACCAAGCACTGAACCCTGAGGCACCCCACTACTTAGCTAATTAAAATCTTGATGGATTTAACTTTTGAGGTGAGACTCAAGACAGCAAGGTCCAGTTGTTGTAATGCCCAGTTCAGAGAAGATGGACGGGAATATCCGGGGCCGGTTGCCCCAGTTAGATGTAAAAAAAAAAGTTGGATGTAAGCTCTATGCTGGGCTTAGCTACATCCAGCTTAGCTACGTCCAGCTTTCTGTTAAATATTTACACCTGTTGCACCAACTAAATCTATGACCAGGAGTAATTACACCCAGCGTAGGCATAGGAGACGCTATTCACACTGCAATGGCTACAATTACTAATAATAATGAACTGAATTGCTCAAGACATTGTAACAAGTGAAGCCACCGTGCCATGATTTTATTGTGTAAACATTTCCTAAGTCTGCGTTTTTATATCAAGTTTCCCTGTACATTCTCATGACAGATTTATTCAAACATACATTACAAATGAAGACTAAATGTTAAGTAAAATATAATGAATGAAATATTTGTACATATTTATCAAAATTCTCTTCTCTATAGTTATGTTTCTAGCTGACTATCAAGTTTATGTACAATGAAAGTCTTTCTTGTGGTAAATGTGACATTATGTGACATATTGTTCATAAGCTGTTTTACTGACATCTTGTTGGTCTTCTTGTTCGGTGGACTCACTCACTGTCTCTGCTTTGTACAGGTTCTGTTTGAGGCAGGAGAGAATCGGGTTGGTACTGTTTGCTCTGTCCTAATTAATGTCCTCACATCCAGGAGTGAAGCTCAGTTGTGTAAAAGTAAGTGGAACATCTATGACAGGATACAAATGTTACATATATGATTATTTTTCAGAGAGAGTTGACTTTGTTTTTAGGCACTAATAATGTTATTTAAAATGTTTTTGCAGTTTTCCAGTATTATGGCAAATACAGCAAGGAGGGTTTGGCCAAAGCACTGGAGAGTGAGCTTCATGGAAACCTTGAAGACTGTCTGATGACCCTGGGTAAAGAAACACGCCTTCATTTTAACCTGTGTGTATGTATGTGGGTGTGTACGAGAGATTCTAGACATGTCAAATGCTTCAGCAATCGAAAGACTATTCAAAGCAAAGCTTTTAGGAAGCTTGTTTTTCCAGCTCTGCATGTCGAGAGTGGGTACTGTCAGCATTATCACACAAACCCTTATCACACAAAGATAGGTACAAAGATACAATAATAACTAAAACAAGCAGTATGAAGTCACATCTTCTGTTTGTGTGCACGCAACAGCTTTTCACCAACATACAAACCTCAAAACATTCTTATTTTTCATGTTTAGTGAAGTCTGCTTGGAACAAACCTGCCTTCTTTGCAGAAAACCTCCACCTGGCTATGAAGGTAAAGTTGCAAAGGAATTAATGGAATGTATTTCAGTATGCCCATGTAGTTGTGTTTTTGATATTTTCAGCCTTCATTTATTACAAAATTTCACATGAATTTAACTGTAATGTGGACTTCTAGGGGTTAGGAACCAACACTGATACACTGACTAGAATCATTGTGAGTCGTTCAGAAATTGACCTGCTGAAAATCATTCAAGAATATAAGAGGATGTATGGCAAAACCCTTCAGGAGGCTATTCTGGTGAGTCTCCATAATTTGAAAAGCTCTAACTAACTAGCTTGAAGCTAACATGAAATAAAAAATGAGACCATTTACTTCACATCCACTATGGAATGAAATTGTCACTTTTCACGATCCAGTCACTTCCCAATGAATTCAATCAGGTTTGCCCCTACATAAATCCTTTTTATGGTTTTACAGAAGGAAACAAGTGGAGATTATGAGAAGATTCTGCTGGCTCTCTGTGGCACTCAATAATCATCTCTTACATGTCTGAATTATGTGAAAAACATCTGCAAATTCATTACATGGTTATATTACCTACCCATGTCAGCACAACTTAATCCCACATAGTTGGTTTATGAAAACTGTTTCATTTAAATTTGGAAAAAAGTCAGTCATTGTGCACACTGTAAGTGTTATTGTCAGTATAATATTCCTAGCTACAACTTCAACTACTATTTTCATAGTAGAAATTCAAGTGCTTATTACAGTTTATTACAACTGTATATTATTATTGTTGTTGTAACAAATCACTATGTAATCCTGGCAATATTTTACATTGCGATGAGCATATCGTTTAGCAGTATGTGAGAACTGTGACCTTATCTGTGTTTCTATTCTCATAATCAAAGAGACAAATTCCACAACCAATAAACTTCAGTTTAAAGCATCTGCATCTTATGCATTATCTAGTGAACAATATCATTGCATATGTAAGTTTCAATGTAAGGTTTGTTTTGTGTTAGGTTTAGACTACAACTTGGGGTGAGCACAGCAAACACATTAAATGATAGATTATCACAAGCTTTACAGACAGGTACAACCAGAACAACCTGGTCTATCTTGACCCAGCCCAATTTTTTTTTCGATGGGTGTGTGTAAGGAATAAAAAGACAGGTTCTGTTCCTGAAATTACCCACTTCAGATCAGCTCTTACGAACTTCACAGAGGAACAGGTGAGTTATGTTTGTAAATGCATTTAACTGCAAGTCTGTAGCTTACCCTAATTAACATTGCCAACAAGTATTCATGATGCTATATTCATAATGAAGTGATTGATGATGTTAATGGAATTGATATGTCAATCTACAGTATATTAATCCAGACAATGTTTGCAATGACTTCTTCATGTGCTTAGTTCTTTATAGTGTCTTCAAAGCTCGCAAGATGGCTTTTTTTAAGAAATTATTTGAGCAACAAAATGATGACAAGGTAAGTAAATACATTACCTTCATTATGGTCATTCAAAAAGATTAACATTAGGTGGGTCTCCTATATGTAATGACTAACTCAAGCACACCTCAAAAGAAACCTGCCATTACTTATATGTACTTATATGTTGCTATATATTTCATCTCAGGGTTTTAAACCTGCTCCTTTTGAGACTGGATATTTTGGAACAGTCAAGGCTGATCCTAATTTTAATGCCCAGAATGATGCTGCAAAATTAAAGAAAGCCATTGAGACCAAAGGTAAAATGCAAAGTTAAACACGTTTAATATGCTCTGTTGAAACTCAAGAAGTTTTGCAAATGAATTGTTTGTGTTGTTGCATGTTTGGAAGACACACCTCACCCATTATGTCATAGCAGGAAGAGTGCTTATATACTTTTACCCAATATATAGCTCTGTTGGGACTTGTATTATAATGCTTCCAGCTGTATTGACCTAATTTACCAGTGATTAATTACAAGGAATCAAGTGCACTCATGTGCAATTGTCCATTAATACCAAGATCCAGCAGTATTACTCTGTAAACAGCTGCTCATGTGAAAACAGCTGCTCAGGTGCCCTGTTTTCTTCTCATGAAGGTGTGGATGAAGCCACTGTTGTGGAGGTGATAGCAAAGAGGAGCAATGCACAAAGACAACAGATCAAAGCAGCTTATCAGCAGAGTGCAGGAAAAGTAAGCATATCCACATCCTTTAACATCTTTTTTAAGTATTCAGTGTTCGTTTGAATCCAGTTACTTATTCATCTGTTACTTGTTGAAGCTTTCCATTCCACCTTAAATAACATTTGTTAATCGCTAAATATTCGTTAATCGCTAAAACACTGAGGCTTCGTATGTAGTCTAATTTTTTTTAGATGCACTAAAAATAATGAAAGATTAACAATTGAACATTTTTCACTTTAGCAATCCTTTTTTATGGACTGTATGACAGTATGGGACAATACAGATGAATGAGTGAAAGTAATATATTGTGCCATCTGCCAATTTCGGTTTAGGCTTTCTTGGTCATTGAAATGGTTGTCTAAAATGTCTTGTCTAAATGACAATGGTGGGTTCATTCACAGTCCAAGGTTTTAATGCTATCTAAAGTTTTTTTTTTTAATCAACCCTTGAACGTGACATATGAAGCAACATACTGTAGATGAGTGAGCCAAGTCATTTACAGTATCTGTAGGTCCAAGTCAATAGCTTTTTATTAATTTAATATTAATTCATTAATCCTCAGGATCTGGCAGCTGACTTGAAAAAAGCTCTGAAGTCAGAGTTTGAGGAAGTGGTCCTGGCCTTGCTGATGACTCCTCCAGAGTATGATGCTTTTGAAATGAAAAGAGCCATGAAGGTACAACTTGTAACTCTTCTTATTGCAATATATGCAATATTCTTATTATATATATATATATATATATATATATATATATATAAAGCATTATAAATGGAAACAAACAACGGGTAACACTTTAGAATAATGATCCGTTGTTAACAAGTAACCATGCAGAAAGCAATAGGTAGTACTATATTAAAGGGATAGTTCACCCAAAAATGAAAATTACCCCATAATTTACTCACCCTCAAGCCATCCTAGGTGTATATGACTTTCTTCTTTCAGACGAAATCCAATCGGAGTTATATAAAAAAATATCCTGGCTCTTCCCAGCTTTATAATGGCAGTGAGTGAGTGTTTCTTGTCAATAGTCCAAAAGAAGTCCAATAAAACGCATCCATCCATAATAAAAAAAAGTGTCTCGCACGGCTCTGGGGGGTGAATAAAGGCCTCCAGAAGCGAATCAATGCGTTTTTGATATCCATATCCCAAAAAAAATCCATATTTAAAACTTTATAGACCATAGTCTCTAGCTTCCGCTAACTGTCGTACGCGTGTTCATTCTGGCGGATGATGTAGGCATAGCGTAAGGTCCCTTTAACACAGAACTTAATACTATTAACTAATATGGAAGCCAGATTAACTAAGCAGTAAGTAATAGCAAATTTAGGACAAAGGTTGTTCCTTATTAGGTTTCGATAATTACTAAATAATATATCTTCATTAAGAACTACTTGCTAACTATGACCAATTAATAAATAATAGCCAATTAATTACTAATCACAATAATAACATGCCTAAAAACCACTGATATAATATTCATAAATTAGTTTCCACGAAGAACCCATTTGAGGTGCAAGATTCTGAAAAAGACATTTTATGACCATGTTAAGAATTTTAAAAAGAACATTGTTCACTTTTTTAGACATGTTACTGTTGTGATTAATAATTAATCGTTTATTCTTTATTAATTGGTCATAGTTTACAAGTAGTTTTCAATGAGGATATTTTTATTTAGTAATTATCAAATACCTAATTTATCAAAAAAACTACCTTTGTCCTAAATTTGCTATTACTTACTGCTTAGTTAATCTTGCTTCCATATTAGATAATAGTATAAGGTTCAGTGTTCATGTAGCACTACCTATTACTTCCTGCATACTTGTTAACAATGGACCATTATTCTAAAGTGTTACCTAATGTAGATACTGACTGTCTCTGACTTTGCTATGTTGTTGTTTCAGGCTCTTTTTGAAGCAGGAGAGAATCGGATTGGCACTGTTTGCTCTGTTCTGATTGACATCCTCACAAACAGGAGTGAAGCTCAGTTGTGCAAAAGTAAGTGGAGAACTCTGATTCCTCTTCAGAGATAGTTGATTTCTATGATATGCCATTTTGGTGTAGTTCAGCTCATGTATTTTTTTTTTTCGTTCTTTGAGGCACTAACAGTGTTGTTTAAAATCTACAGTTTTACAATATTATGGCCAATTCAGCAAAGACGGTTTGGCCAAAGATCTTGAGGGTGAGCTGAGTGGAAACTTTGAAGACTGCCTGATGACCCTGGGTAAATATATAAGACTTCATTTAAGTCTGTGTGGGTGTGTGAAAGAGAAATAGTCGTTTTAAATGCTTCAGTGGCCATATGAATGAAGGCAGCTCTATTAAAACTTGTTCAAAAGACAGGCCTGTTTTTCCAGCTGTGCGTGTTGAGGGTGGTTTCGTTGAGGGTGGTTTCATTCTCACACACGAAAACTTAGGTTAGGTACAAATATCCAAGATTAACTAAATTTATGTTAAAAAAATATTGAACATTGTTCAAATTAATTTATAATTATAATTAATAATAATAATAATAAGAAGAAGAAGAATTATTATAATTAAAGGAATTAATTAATTAATTTGTTTGTTTGTTTGTGTTTGCATTAACAATGTTCTTACTGTCTTTTTCATGTTTTAGTGAAGGGTGCTTGGAACAAACATGCCTACTTTGCAGAAAGGCTCAAACTGGCTATGAAGGTAAAGTTGCAGAGAAATTCATGAAATGTATTCCATTTGATCGATTTTTTTCAGAGAATTTCTGTGTTGTTTTTTTATCTGCTCCAATGATCAAAGAGGCTAGAACCCAATTTCTGGAGACTTTAAAATGACTCTCTTTTTTTCCTGGCCTAAAGGATAGCAATCAGGGTGTCAACATCTTGATGAAGAAGACTTTGTTCAAATCTATTTATCACTATATTAAGCAAATTTGCATTTTCACAAATAACTGGTCAGATTTGGCATCTCAACTAATACCATTATAACTGCATAACAAAGATTGAGAAGTTGAACATTTTCTTTGGTACAAGTGCTAACTTATCCTGTTATTAACAAATGGACAAACCAACAAAAATAGCTGCCAACAGAATTCAGTCACATCATCAAATCAAATAAACTGTAATATGGTCTTGCTTTATAGGGACTGGGAACCGACACTGACACGCTGACTAGAATCATTGTGAGTCGTTCAGAAATTGACCTGCTGAAAATCATGCAAGAGTACAAGAGGATGTATGGCAAAAGCCTTCAGGAAGACCTTCTGGTGAGTATGTGTAACTCATAATGGGTGATCTGAAAAGCTTTTGTATTTAATTTCGCGTTCGTAAATCACTCGTATTTAAAACCTCAATGAAAAGTGACTTCTTTGTTTTTACAGAAAGAAACAAAAGGGGATTATGAGAAGATCATGCTGGCACTCTGTGGGACTCCGTAGACAACAATAAATATCTTCATTCAACTGGATCACGCTAAACACATCTGTTCATTAAATGGGTGTATTCATGACCCGTGTAAACGCCTAATCTCCTCAGGGTGTGGCTCTTTAGGAGTGTTTCATTAAAACTCGTTGTGCAACTCATTGTGTAATATTTTTTCTTTGACCAGTACACTCAAAGGCATGTGGTGTTTAAGTGTCTCAGGATACTTTAAAGTAACATCATTAATGAATTCTATATTTGTGCAAGCAAGCTGTATGATTCTCAAAATTTTTGACATTTGAATGTATACTGTCACTGAAAACATACAGTTGTTGCCATAAGGAGCTATTTCTTCCTGATCTGACCACATATTTTGGTGTAACCCAATGCATTGAGGTTTATTCTTGATATTGATTCATTTCTTGAGTTAACGTGAATAAAACCAATCAATTCAGAAACACAGTTTTAGATTACTTGAAGGTAATTATATTTATACACAATGTTTACATAGAAGGCATCAATAATTAAATATATGTAAAACCAAATATCATAAAAAAAGAGAAAATAAATAACAAATAGGAAAAAATAAATACAAATAAGTATTTGGCTAAATATACTGCAAGCAAATAATATTAAAAAGCACATTGATCCAATGCTGTTTAATATAATAATGTCATGAATGGACGTTAGGCCTATTATCCAGTGTTCCCAGTGTTTCCTGTTTGCTGTCCGAGCACACAGTGCACCTGTAGAAACTGATATGACTGTAATTGGAGAAGATGTGCCACAGGCAACAGATGCAGTGGAGCCATCACAATGAAGTAGCACTCACACAGTCAAACGAGGTCCTTTAGGAACTTTTTTTACAATCATTTGACAGTCCAGGCTATTGTAGACAATGTCAAGTCGCTTTTTAATGAGAAATTTTCAATGAGGAGTGTCATCAGACCAATATTTCTGCATGAAGCCGTCTGAAGATGTCCCCTACAGCATTTTTTCCATATGCATTTTTACTTTGGATTGGACTCCAATGTGTCCAGACAAAAATCTTCACAAACCGCTGGGCGGTTAAAATAACTGGAGGTTCTGATGCTGCTGATCTTATTGCAGAAAAATACGGATTTGTGAACATGGGCCAGGTAAGTACACTGCAATAATGCTTTGTCAGTTAAATATGTTTCATCTGGTAACATCTAAAAAAAAAAAGCTTAACAGTATCCCTTTTTACAATATAAAACTTTGTATTAATTATTTAAAATGCGTGTTTCCAGTATTGAAATGCTTATGTATCTCAAAGGCTTATAAAAAAAAATTATAATGTGATTTATCAAAATAGATAGTATGCGTTTTCTGCATGATCCCAGAATTGTAATTGGTAACTTTTCATCATGATACAGTGATGGTCACAGTTGGTAATACCATGGTACTTTGAAAAGCAAATCCATATGGAATTGTATTCGTCATGCTTGAATTACTGTTATTGAAAGTAGAAGATGATGTTTCACCAGGTCCAATTATTGCCATGATAAAACTTCATAGACAAACTCATATTCTTATGAACACATTCTGTGCAAACACAAACTCTAGTCCTTGTTCCTAGAATTAGTTTTCTTTCAAATTAGTCTTTCATTCTTACCGAGCCCATGTCTCTGGGTCACTGGCTCTTGTATAATAAATGTGTTTAACCATGCAAGACGAGCTCCTAAACTCGTTGGCATCTTATACCCTACTTCAGTTAACCAACTGGCACACTTTCTTTTGTCTCCTAGGAGAGAAAATAAGTAAGGAATTTACTGTGCAAATAAATATAGCAATTGTAAATTTAAGATATATAATTTAATGAGACAGGACACTCATTTTTAAATGACACTCAAGATTTTTAAATGTAATTTTCACTTAATTTAATATTTGAGTTTAAAATTAGAGAAAAAAACAGGAACAAAGTTGTGTATAGGAATGCATTTGAAATGGAAACGAGTCTATAAGTCAGGCTACTGTACAGTAAAACTGTGTAAAATGTAAAACTGTCAACACATATACTACAGTTCAAACGTTTGGGTTTGGTACTGTTTTTTTTTTTTAATACTTTTATTTAGCAAGGACAAGACTGGAGTAATGGCTGCTGAAAATTCAGTTTTTCCATCAAAAGGGAGTGCCTTGATAAGCATAAGAGACTTCTTTCAAAAACATTAAAAAAAAATTGTTTCAAAAGATGCTGTGAGTAGAGCTTGGAATATTCCTGCACTCTAAAAAAATGATGGGTTAAATATAACCCAGCGCTGGGTTAAAAAGGGACAAACCCAGCTATTGGGTTGTTTTGACCCAGCGGTTGGGTTGTTTTGAACAACCCAACCGCTGGGTCAAAACAACCCAATAGCTGGGTCAAAACATCCAAATAGCTGGGTTTGTCCCAGCGCTGGGTTATATTTAACCCAGCATTTTTTAGAGTGTGTAGTGTTACTTTTAGGCCAGTTTGAATCCAAAGTGGTTTGTTGTGCAATGCATCATGGGATTTCTTTGGCCCATGGTCACTATTTGGGTTTCCTGCTCTGTGTGATAAGTCTGTTTATTTTGCTTTGTCTAATTGCGCACATGTTGTCTTTGGTAACATGTAGATGCTGACTTCCTCTACTGAGTCAAATGAAATGTGTAACTGCCGTCCACAGTGGGGCTGTTTAGTTCCGGTTAAATCTGGTATGGCTTCGGCCAACATCATAATGTCAAGGCACAGGGTGTCAAAGAGTAATCAGCAGCCAAAGTTTAAGCTCAGCTGAATCGTACAGTGGTAGCTCAGGTTGCCGCTGATGGTAAGTCTATCAGCCGTGTTGGATAACCCTTTTGTTGTTTCAAAGGCATACGTCAGGGATGAATACATAATTTATATCTCTGTCAGTCACACTTGAGCAGCGGCTGTATATATAAAACACAATCTTCTTCCTCTTGTGTCACTGCAGATAGGCGGGCTAGTAGACCATTACCAGTTCCAGCACAGCAGAATTATCAAACGGTCCACAATTAAAAGCAGAGGAAACCACAGTCTCATCGCCACGGAGACCAAGGTACAAGGATCAAATACCTTCAGTCACTGAGACACCACTGAATAGTTAATAAGTTAGACTACACCACCCTATAAACACCACACACACTTACCAAAACAGATTAAGAGAGCGGTACACCAAACCACATGGATGCATCCTTAAACTTGGCCAAAACTAAATGAGACAATGATAATTGCTCTTAATTAATATTTCATTTAATTCACTGTGGTTTGCGAAGCATGATATGTATTCAGCAGCACATCATAAATATGTTCTAATGCTAAAGGTGAAGTGGATCCAGCAACAGATGGTTCAGAAGAGAGTAAAAAGAACCGACACAATGGACCAAACCCATGCCGCCAGCTTCAATGACCCTGAATGGGACAACATGTGGTATATTGTTAGTATGCAACACATTACAATCAGAAATGTTATATTCAGTTAAAAGACATTAATAAACTGAACAACACTAAACCAAAGTAATATGTTCAGAAGTGTTATATCATATTGAAATATCCCTTGCATACTTTTAAAAAGAGTACCTTTATGGAAACAATATAGTTAAAGGGGTCATATGACGTTGCTAAAAAGAAATTATTTTGTGTATTTGGTGTAATGCAATGTGTTTATGTGGTTTAAGGTTCAAAAAACACATTATTTTCCACATAATGTACATTATTGTTTCTCCTCTATGCCCCGCCTTTCTGAAACGCGTCAATTTTTACAAAGCTCATCGGTGTGACGGAAATGTTACGCCCCTCACCATACTGTGATGCTCTGTCAGGCTGGAGCGACTAGACAAAAACATCCAAACCCATTATAAACGAGGCATTTGTTGAATCCAGTGGGGACATAATTTCGGATTATAATGACTTCTACTGTCTTTTTACGCGTTGCGTTGCGTATCGCGCTGCGGAAACATAAAACCATGCCTGCATTTGTGATTGGAGAAACGACAAACAACAAGCGCTACTCTACACTGCTCAAAACTCGCTTTTGAATCGTCAGTGGCAAATCCTTGAAATATGAAAACGTACTTACAGTCAGTGAGTCAGAACAGCCGCCATTGTAGTCTACTCTACCAGGTTTGTGTGAACATTTGGGCGGTGTTATGCAAATCTTCCCACATAGTGAGGTAGACATGTGGGGGCGTTTTTAAACTAAGCGTTTTAGGAGGACGTGGACGAGTCTTAACTTTTATAAAGAATATCTCTTTGGATTTGAGACTTTAGTCTTTGCAACTTTATAGATCTTCTTTATGCACCAAGAGCTTGTAACACTCCAAAGAGAAAGAAAAAATTTAAATCGCATCATATGACCCCTTTAAATATAGTTAAAGTATATATATTGCGTTACATTTGATGCAATTATTTGAATTAAGTGATAATCTGAGATGAATAAAAGCATGCTAAAACCTGTTATGTTTGCCTTCTGTTCCATAGCACTGTGATCACAACTGCTTGACCGACATGAACATTCAGGCCGCCTGGCGTAGGGGCTACACTGGGAAAGGGGTTGTCGTTTCCATTCTGGATGATGGTATAGAAAGACAGCATCTAGATCTAAAACAGAACTATGTAAGTGCTTTGAGATTATCTGAGAAGAAATAACAAATCTCAAGAAATGAAAAATTTGATATCTGCATGTAGAAATCTCATAAATATGTAATAATGGAAATAAATTGGGTTGCATACATCATTTAAGGTTTACACTTCAGACTTTAGGATTACTCAAGTGAGAGAAGAGTGAAGAGTATACAATCTGATATACTGTATGTTTGTAATAAATAAATAAAACTCATCGATGTCAATAATCTCAAATACTGGCTGAATAATTGGCAGTATATTGGCCTGTCAATAATTTTGATTATTTAAAACTGAGAGTAAGATATTCAAAATAGGAAGGACTGTTTATATGTTGTTAATATAACAGATGTTATTAAAGGGATAGTTCACCCAAAATTGAAAATTCTGTCATCATGTACTCACCCTCAAGTTGTTCCACACCTGTATGAATTTCTGCATATGAACACACACACACACACACACACACACAAACACTCACTCACTCACTGTATGGAAAAAAAAAATACTATGGAAGTCAATAACAACCGTCAACTGTTTAGTTACCAACAGTCTTCAAAATAACTTTTTGTTATAAATTTTGTGTTCAGCAGAAGAAAGAAGCTCATCTAGGATTGGAACAAGTGGAGGG